TTTGTGTTGCTTAACTTTATAAGCCTTTGTACGTACATGTAGGTCATCAATTTTTTTATTCAAAGATTATAAAATCTACTGAAATTGTGCGCACTCATTTGCAGGGTAATAGGGTCAGAGGAAGTTACCTTTAAATTAAAGGCACACTATCGTGGCTGTGATTGGCTAGTTGTAATGTTCAAATCACTAACAAAGAACCTGTCCTCTAAATGATTACGAGGCCTTTATGCTCTTGGATCATACATTGTTTCGAGAAAAAAGGGAATCAGATCGTTTTCAGCTATCAACTGTCATAAATTTCAGTATACAGCATAATTACTAAAGCTTGCTTAATTCTATTTTATTGTCATTCACCCAATCAGTGCCTCGACAGTGTGCCTTTCACCAAACGAACTGAACGTTTTTTAAGCTAATTGTTATAGATTCACTAAAGACATGATACTCCATTGTTTTACATGTTCTGTTTTTCTTCCCACACCTTTTCCATTATCATATTACGCACTTTAGTTGCTCGAGTTTTTGCTACATTCACCGTTCTTGAACTTTACGTCATCAGCAATATTTTCTCAATTGTTGTGCGGTCTCTTTTCTGGTTTGAGCTGGGATCAATCGTCAAATCTAACTTTTTAGGGATAGTGTCACCATTTTCTAAACATGCATTGTGAAGCACCATGCAGGCTAGTGTTTCAACTTTTGCTTCAAGTCGGTTACTTTCTGATTTTCTCGTGAGATACCGCCAGCGTCCCTTTAATTGGCCATATGCCCCCTCCACAATCATTCTGGCTCTGCTTAGGCGATAGTTAAAGTAGCGTTGTTTTTGTATGAAAACCACAACTTCCCCGTATGAATCTATATTTTGCGTCCACCATTGACTTTAGGATGATTAAATAGAAATTCTTGTAGTTGTGGTATTCCTTGCACGCTTCAAGCCCCCAGGTGGACATTTGATGGGGATATGACATCCATCCACTGCTGCCCAGCTGAAGGGAAATTGCCACAATTCCTCCATGTCCAAGATTTTTCTTGTAAAATCATCATTCATTTTTGGCATGTATGCAGTAAGGCATTCGTCCCACATGCACGAAACTATTGCTTCATTTACTTCTTTAACAATGGTAGAGACTGTCGATTGGCCAAGCCCAGCCAATTCTGCGATAGTGTAAAAGTAATCACCACGGCCTAAGCGATACAAGCATTATCCCAAGCGCAACTCAGGCGAGACTGGGTCTTCAGAAACTACTTCACGCTCTAGTTTGTGACGAATTCGAGACAAAATGAAGTTAAAGGTCTTGCGAGATTCGCGAAATGTTCTTTTGAACCTATCATCAGAATAAATGTGCCAAACCCGACTCCACCAACCACTGTTTCAGTAACCTTCTACATGAACGGGTGCATTCTTTTCTATTCTGTGAGGTTAGCAGGGTGACTATAAGCAAGCACGCTTGAATCAATTGTCTTTGTCTTGACAACGCTATTGCAAAACACTCAAACAGTTTCCTCCGTCTTTCATTTCGTTCTAAAATCTTCTTGATAATGAATGATTTTGTCAAATTTATGCTTCGAGGCGCCATTTTCATGCAAGAAAGCAAAGTTGGAAAACCGCGCTAATTTTTAGTACTTCATGTAACTCTTGGAAAAATTAATTGGCTCGACCGATTTGGTTCGACGTTTGATTCAGTGCCGTGCCAACGTCGCGCCACCGTCGAACTTATTGCTATTAGGTTCGGCACATGACAGGCTCGACGTTTGACCAAGGCCTAAGGCCAATGGTTCTCGCAGCGAAAAAAGGCTAAAACTGATACATTATCACCCGTTTTCATTCGATATCGGATTAGCGCAAACGCAATTCTTCTAATAATGACAGGAGGTCACTGACAGCTGCGTCTGAAACGAAATTCAAAGTGGGGTGTGTCTGCTTATTGAATTGCTCCATATTCCGCACTCTATTATAAAGGAAATATAAACGCAACCGACGGCCTTGGAGATGGAGACAAAATGGGTTCAGGGCAGCCCCAAGTTTTCTACATTTCGGAAAATCAGATATTTTGGTATAAAAAAGACGAAAAAGCCGCTAAAACGAGAAACTCGGGTGATTAAATGCATTCACCTGAAAACCCCATGTCAGGACACAGGATGTCCAATGTAAAATTTTTATAATAGACTCATTTGTTAACTCGCCGTACGAAAAGAGTACGAGGTATTCAGAACAATTTACGAAACCTCAGTACTCCAAGCAAAAATATTAAAACAGAAGTGAATGTTGAAAAATTCCCGAACTCACAAATTTTTGTGAAATTCCATCAACATGATTGGCTGGTTGGCATTATAATTTAGATACAAAGAATGAGAAACAGACTTTCCATATCTAAGTACATAATTAAAACAGAAACCAATTTCATGTTTGAAATTTGACGAATATTTGAAAATAATAGAAATATTGACTGTTTGCAGCTACAAAAACCTGTTAGAAATGACATTTCATCTTTACATGAAGTACTTAACCTATTAGATTTACCACGTGCCTTATAAAATGCAATATGGCTGATTCCGTTTCATTGTTGAATATGTTAGGTATCATTTTCGCATACAATACTCTTCCGCTTAACTCTAACAAAACCCTCCCCAATGGTTTCTGTAAGGAAATGTCCTTGCGTGAAAAGTTGATTGTAGGAAGCTTATGTTGAAATAATTAATGACGCAATATTTAAGAAAGTTTTAAGCAACAGTAAGTATAAAAATTTTTCCAGCGTATCAACGTCAAATTTTTATTGTTTCTAAAAATGGTTTTTTCACCGATAATTTTTAGATTGCCATATCATCTTAACCTTTAGAACAGAATTACTGAGGAGATGTGTCCAGGTTTCTTTTGTTAGGGCTATTATTCTTACCAATTGTCTGAGCCAATAAGAAGTGCATTTTATGCGCATGCGCGTTAATATTTAGGCTTTCGGACACATTTCAGTTCTCATCAATCTTCACAGATCACAGCATTCAATCGAAACAATTATATATCATGCTTAAACCATATGAACGGGAGTCTCATTCTCAACCATTCTATTCAAACTCTTTTCTCTAAATTTCTTCCTCTTTTGACTGGAGAATGGCTTACTCCCACAAGAGACGCGAATTTTCCTACCACAGAACATAAAATAAGAAACTTCAAATCTTTAAAGGACAATGTTAAAGCAACTAGAGGGAGTCATTTTGGAATATTTGTGTGGTCGATCTACCATTTGCTTTTCCACTTCTCAAATGCTTTTGTAAACACCACATTATAGATACACTTACTGGCTGGATAGAGGGGTTCCTATAAGGTGAATTATCGTTGCTGAAATGTAAACTACAATCCCGGACAAAAATGTTGAGACAAAATGCAATTTTTTTAAATTTTCTCCTTTAAATTTTTTAAAAGAAGCTTCTTTAACAACACACAATTGGCACCAATATGTTCAAAGCTTCCAAGTACACTCCGTTTGATGTGCATGCAAAAAAGGGTACTGTTGGCTTATGAGTGAATTAAATAACTTACAAATTGATCGCAAACATAACTAAGGGACCGGTCATTTTAAATGGTGGGGGCTGGGGCGGAGGATACTTTTGAAGGAGTGCAGTTACTTTCTTGGCCCCCCTCAAATTTATTCAGCTACAATGCTTCACCCCCTAAATCCAATAAGATGTTCTCATAGCCCCCCTCGCACAACATGGAAAGACAACACATTTTCTGTCAAAAATATAAAGTTTACTGTAATACCATAATGCCTTCATTCAGTATGTCATAGCACAGAAAGTGTTGATGCATACGAGGCTCAGTTTTCAGAACCAGAAGTTGCAAACTGGCAGAACGCAAAAGAAAGGAATGAGACCATGGGCAGCTTTCAGTGAAAAACCAGATACCAGCTGAAAAGTCTCTGCAGTTCCTTGAAAATGTATTGGCAAAATTGAGATCTTCATGGCAGAAATCAAAACATTGGAAGCAACACGAATATTCATGGAACAGTCATGGAAAAAAAATGAATTATCTATCTTTGATAATTTAATAAAAAGGTCTGAATTTTGCAAAGGAGGTTTATAAAAGTTAGGGGTGATTTTCTCTTGAACCTAGCTATGCTCGAAAAACTGCTGGAGCTAATGTGCTCAGCAGCAAATTTAGCAATGCCAGAGCGAAACTCCTTGCAAAGGAAAATTAGAGAAAGAGCAAAAAAAAAGTTGAACGTGACTTGAGAAGCTCTTGTCATTAATTGGTGCCATGCTTCCAGGAAAGAAAAGTGAAGAAGTCAAGATGAAAATTGAGCAGGGAGATTTTTCATTTACTATTACTATAGCACAGTATGGTCCATTGAGCAGCAAAATGCACAGAGCAGGCCTCACGTTTTTGCTAGAAAAAGGGTGTGCTGTCTGATCAGGCAAAATTATTTGCAGAATATAAAATGTGAAAGATAGTATGCTGCAGAGGCAAAAAAGAAAAGCTCTTAAAAGATAAGAAAGTGGGAAAGCAGCTGACAATCCTTGCTGCTTTTGGGGTAGAAAAAGCTCAGCAGCCAGATTCAAGCTCTGAATCGAGTGAAAATGACGTGGATTCATAACTGAAGTACCACAAGTGTGCAATACCACAAGCTTTAATCATGACAATAACTAGAAGTTATGATCCTTTATAGTTTAACCGTTTTCAATTTTGACTGACAGCTTTGATGGTCCCCCTCTTGTTTAACATTATTTTACCTAGCCCCCCTTTAAGGCAGCAAAATTATAGATGGCCCCTCTCAATATCTTCTTTCCCACACTCCCCCCCCCTGATCCTTGAAATGAACTCAGCAAATTAAATACACAAGCCAAATGTTCCACTTGGGCCCATCTTGTCTATGATTAGCTCAGCACAACATAGACTGCTTAAGGCTTTTAGCTTGAGTAATAATTACTAGGCGGCCTAGTAATAGGCGTAGACTGCTATTATTGATTTTAAAGAACTAATAAGTTTCTACCAAATGAAAATGCAAACAATATCTGATTTTATAGTTTTCTTTGTCGATCAGTATAAATGATACAGCAACGTAAAAATGACTTAATTGATAACAAGAGTTATTTCTCTCGACTATATACAACTAGCAAAACCTATCCAATGACAACTTCTGTAACAGCAACTTCACAAAGAGACACAATTTCCAGCAACTAAAACGGCAACTTTGCTCGACTGGACTTACAATGAAAAACATATGCTTTTAACCACATGACGCACACAAGCCTTAATGACACAAATTACGGCAAATGGACTAATAACAGCAAAAACCGCGATGACGCGATGACAAAAAAACTGGACTGACGTAAACATCCAAAAACATTTTTATTAACGATTATTAACGATAACGAACCACAAACACGACGCACGACAGATGAAACTAGTTGTATAACAATTTACTATAATACAAAGGTTTCTTTAAAATACAATCGCTAACACTAAGGGATATGTTTCTCTGAGGGAGCTAGAGGGCATGGAAGGATTCATCGTGGATGGACATACTTTAATAACTTGCGTTATGCAGCCGATACTGTGTTTATAGCCCAATCAGAAGAACTTTACAGCGCCTTCTAGACAAAGTGGTGATAGAAATGAACAGTAAAACGTATTGAATTCACTTTCGAAGACAAAAAAATAATTGGAACTTGGGGAAGCTATTTACTTAAAATGTAAAAAGGTCCCTCTCTTTCCGTTATATGTGCCGAAGATGGACACACAGAAAAGGAAAATTAACCGCAACGTAATAGACACCGTCTCATATTACATATCTTCTAGATACTTCGTTTACTGCCATACATCTGCATATCTTGTTTTGACTAGCCCTTGCAACTCCCTACATGCACTGCAGCTCTTGCCTCTTTTAGGCCCACAGCATACATCCTTTCGTGACGTACCTTTAAGTACCATTCTGCCACAATAAAAATTTTCGTTCTTAGTACTTTGTTTTGAAGGATGTCCCATTCTGTTTACATATGTCCTTACCGCAAGGGACTGCGTGACGACATCCAATTTCATGCATGCATTGCAATTACAACCTGTTTCTGGCCCACACTGGGCACCACTGCATGAACATCTAGGTGGAAATAAATAGATATTGCTATAAATGTTAGGGATATCTGTTTTAAAAAACGAGAGATCAAAAAATTGTCCTGCAATAACTTTCTCTGGCATTACTCTTTAAAAAAGGCAACCACTGCTTTAGTTAGAAGGGTAAAGCCGTCCTCATTTGAAAGCTGCCTTTGACTAGTGGCATTCAAAATGGACTATATTGGACTGGAATGTGGACTCAAACGGTGATTTTGCCGCATATATTATATGAACCTAGAAATTCAACACACACGCCGAGAAATACGGTAACGGATTTCTTCTACCAGAAAAACATATTCCATCTATTTATATAGGCCACTCTTGAATAAAATCTTCACTTTCACTGAGAAATAAATGAATACTGCGGCTCACCTTCCTAGAGAAACGATACTTTTGAAGGAATACGTCAATCCGACCACCAACGGCCTCTGTTCCACCAGGACCGGAGCTTAGATCAAAATTTTGACACTAAAATCCTTTCCAAGAAGTCAACAGCGTAAGAAAGTATTCTTCCTCATTGCAGACAGCCAGGCGATAAAATATTTAACTCCCCAAGTACAGGCTTAGAGTCCAGATTGAAAAGTGGTCTTAGATCCCCAGGGGGGTACTCCCATTGCAGGGGGTCCAGTCGATATGAGGCTCTTACCAAAAGGCTACCAAATGACCCAGTTTTGATTATAACACAACGGCTTAGTTTAGCTTGCAATTTATTTTAGACAATGAACAAGGTTTTAACTTTCCCGAATCAACAGCAGTCAGTGGCGAAGAAATTTGTCAAAAAAGAAACCGGCGCGTACAAAGAAATGGATGCTACGAATGACATAATCTCCGTCCTTATGCTACCATTTGAGGGATATTTAAAAAAACACTACCATTTGAGGGAAATTTTTTAACATTTTAGCTTTGACCCTCATTGACTGTGACTGGAGCCCCTGTTAGGCCGTAATGGGAGTAACCCGCTCCCGGCTTGGATCGTTGAATAGGTGTGTTATCGAGAAGTCAAAAATGATGATAAGATATACTACATACTCTGGATCGTCTAGTGGTTTTCCGCAGTAGAATTTCCCAGTTTTCCCCCGGTGACATGCATCGCCATTTTCGTTCTTCTCTGTTGCCATTCTGTCCAGCTCTTCACTTTCGTTGCATTTCACAACGCAGCGTATGACCTCGTCCTCGTGGACTTTGAAAAGATGTTGAGACAAGTCTTTTTGCAAACAAACCTCATTACATTCCTTAAACAAACATCGACTAGGCCTATATTGACAATTGGCAATATGCTCTTTCATACTACTTTTTGGCATGGTCTCAGTACACCCTGAATGACTACACTGTGTTGGCAAAGTACCAACTATTCTTCTTGTCACGTGGGAAATGCATATTAAGAAGTTAGAGTTGCAAAAAGAGCAAGCTTGGTCGGCCAGTGCTTGTAAGCAGGCAGCACAGAAGACGTTGTGGCAGCAGCTTGTCTCTACGGCATCTTCAGGGATACCTCCACATGCAGAGCAAACCATGTGGCTAAACATTGCATCTTGTGCCTTTGTTATAGCTGGAAAAGAGCAGTTAGAAGGTTATATGAATACTTCAATACACTAATTCTTTTATAAGAAACAAAAGTCGATGTTTAGCGCTCTAGTTTCTTAATGTTCTGGAAATTTCAATACATATTGTTTTTTAAGAGTTTCTTAATAATGAAGTCATGAATGATGTTATGAAATGTTTGTGACCTTTTTTATCACGTCTAGAGATTTGCTTCCGTGCTGATGCTGTATTTAGACGTGGGAAGTATATTTTTATCCCTTGTATCTTACATTCTAGGCCAACAGGGCAATCATGTTCTTGGATTTTACAAAATTTCGTTGTTCGCAGTTTTGTCACAATTTTTTGGTTTCTTAGTTTATTTGCTTCGAGTACTGAAGTTCTTCAATTTTTTTGACTGCCCAGTACTCATTTCTCATAGCCAGTTTCTTATAGAAAAGTGAGTGTAGCACCTTATGCTCTACTCTAGCTATGTTGGTTAATTTCTTGAATAATTCCAAACTGTAAATGCAGCGCATGCCAGCATGTCACTAAAATTTTAGCTTTTATAAATTGGTTTATATATTTTGGTTGTTGTGTGCTTGAATAGTACGAGTTACGATGGTGGTTGGATGAAAAGAGTTGTGTTTCGAGATGACTGATTAATGCTTTCTTATCTTTCATGGCGACGAGGTTGGCATTAACTGAAACAAATTTTGGAGACTATTGTATTTCTTATTCTGAGGGGGATGTTATGCTGTTGTTGTTGTTGTTGTTAGCCTGTACTCCAGACCCCTAATGTGAAAGTAGAAGTCTGGGACCTCTACTTTCAAGTTAGGGGTCTGGGACACAGGCTAGTTGTTGTGTGCTTGACTACGAGTTACGATGGTGATTGGATGAAAAGAGTTGTGTTTCGAGATGACTGATTCAAACTTACATATCTAACATCCTTTAAGTATAACAATGTAAAAATATCCATTTATGTACATTTAATTATTTATTCATTTATCCGTTACGTATTAGTTTGCTTTGTACATATGATATTGTATATAGTAAGCTAGAAGTAAATGATCGGTGTGAAACAAGTAAACAAAAAAGTCGCAGACAGTAAACACCAACATCAGAGATACTACCATTAAACATTTTGACTCGAATAGATTCTTATATCTATCTACCAATGTACTGAATGCCTTATAAAAAGAAGCTTAACATCATTGTGTAATGATGTGATTGTTGAACAGAAGTTAGGTGTTTCACGTTCTGAAAATTGTTTTATTGGAAATGAAAAACTCCTCGTTTTTTGTCCGTATCTGCTTTAAAACTCGGGTGCCTATTTTTGGTTGACACGCCTGCTGCCATGTTTATCATGTGCTAGGCCATCTAGCGTAAGTTTTGTATGGCCAAGATGATGCAAAGAAGTAAATTTCTTATTCATCTATCATAATCTCCGTTCGCCATTTATTCGCAAACAGTTTTTCTAGTATATTGTAATCTTAGCGTTCCAAATTTTCACAATACATTAATGCCACGTCCTGTCTGTTTGCAAGTTCAAGTTCAAAATTGTGAATCCGGAGCATTGGGTGCTGATTAGAACAAATGCAGAGGAGTTCCAAAGTGATGACGTCACAAAATTATATTTTTAGAACAGAATTATATTTTTAGAACAAAATTATATTTTTAAAACAAAATTATATTGTTACAATAAAATTATATTTTTATAACAAAATTATATTTTTAAAACAAAATTATATTTTTAAAACAAAATTATATTTTTAGAACAAAATTATATTTTTAGAACAAAATTATATTTTTAGAACAAAATTATATTTTTAGAACAAAATTATATTTTTAGAACAAAATTATATTTTTAGAACAAAATTATATTTTTAAAACAAAATTATATTTTTAGAACAAAATTATATTTTTAGAACAAGTTTATATTTTTAGAACAAAATTATATTTTTAGAACAAAATTATATTTTTAGAACAAAATTATATTTTTAGAACAAAATTATATTTTTAGAACAAAATTATATTTTTAAAACAAAATTATATTTTTAGAACAAAATTATATTTTTAGAACAAGTTTATATTTTTAGAACAAAATTATATTTTTAGAACAAAATTATATTTTTAGAACAAAATTATATTTTTAGAACAAAATTATATTTTTAGAACAAAATTATGTTTTTAGAACAAAATTATATTCTTAGCTGGATTGCTACATGAGTGCAGATTATTTATCAAATCATTGTAGTTTTGAAAACATTTTAATTGATTTTGCACTTTAATGCTGTTTATTTTATGCTGGTCTTTCAGACTATGTTGTCAAAATTCAGAAATTCTCAAAATAATAATCTCTGAATCAGAGACAATGTAGGCGGTTATATCAAAGCTGTTTTCAAAGGTCAGGCAGCAAGCACATCGGAGCCTGGGGAGGGAGGGGGGTGGTGGGGAATAGCACCACACCTTTTTGCTGCAGTATGATATTCAGGCTGTTTGATCAAAGAAAATGATGGAAAAACAACCATAAATGTTGGCCAAGGTCAGCTTGGCATAATGCCGTTGGTCAATCAACTCGGGGTGTTAAATAGACTTTTTACTAACTGAAATGATGCTTACGAGTATCTGTAGGCTCATGGCATGATGCTCTTTTGTCCTGAGTAAAAGATCCAGAACATTTTCTATCAGCCATGGAAATATATTCACCAAAGTCATCATTTTCTTTGCATATTTTAAATGCAACTTCTAGAGTTAATGGTTGCTTTAAAACTTTGAATGGTTCTTTGCAGCCATCGACAAGCTTCTTCAACAAATCGAATGAAATCCACTTCTCTTGGCCATCTAGGCTCTGCCAACGAAAACAAATATGTGTTTTCTACAGTTATATAAATTGGTCCGCAAGTTTGAAGAATGACATTTCAAATCATCAAAACGATAGGGTTGTTCAATAGATCTATAAACTAGGGCCTTTATGATAAAGCCACGGTGGCAGGACACCCACGGGGGGACTCACTACTTTTCTATAAGGGGGGTCTATGTCAGCAATTTTTTGTTGACTCCCAAATATTGAGTTACAGTTTTGAAGAACCCCAAATATTGAGTCTCAAAATTTTGAGACCCTAAATATTGTTGCAAATTTTAGACTACCATCACCTTTGTAAAAGTTTCTTGAATATCACAACATTTTCAGTCTTATTTCAATTTTCTTAATACCCTAAACAATAAATAACCAAAAGATATGTTTCAAGATCTTAAATCCCTTTCGTTAAGTTTTGGGGCCTATGACTCAAAAGCTCTTGCACAACCGGCATGCTTAGCGGCTGCTGTCTTGAGAAAATTTATTGCTTTTTGTATTTTTACGCAGTGTGATATTAGGCCGGTTTTTGAATTATAATCACAAAGCAAGAGCCTTTAAGCCTCCATCTTGAAACATCTTTTAGTCCGTGGATAGGCAGGGACGCCTGCAAAAGATTAGGGCAGGAGGGGCAGTGTTGGTGCCGATGACAAATCATTGAATTTTTCTATTAACATAATCGAGCATTCCTAGGTGGGAGGGGGCGAGGGTAGGGTAATATAATAAAACTATTAACTTGAATATGTGCCACTCATACAGCTGGGTTTTTTACCAACAAAGATTCTAAACATAAAGAAAATGTTGACGAACTTATCCATAAATGAAAATGGTTATTAAATGGCTTTGTCACTCACTATTCACAATATTTGGTTTTATAAAAATCATAGCTGTTATAAACGGGCTTGTAAAATTTTGATTGCCCGCTAAGTTTTTATACCGATTTATCCTCCTTGGGTTCCTGGAGTACTTCTGAGGGAACACATCTTTTGTTTATCATTTATTATCTTTGCCGCTCTCCCTATGTGGCCGACCTTGTCACAGACAAACTTTTCCTTCTCTGCATTTTTGTGCTGGTGTTATCATCTTTATAGTATTTTCTAATATATATTAACATAACGAGAGAAGTCAAAGTAGTCATCATATTTCAGGGCACTTCTTGCCCCCTCTGCCCCTCTTCGAAGAGGGCAGGTGGTGCAGCTGCCTCTCCAGCCCCCCTTGTGTAGGCGCCCCTGTGGATAGGGGCACATTTTCAGTTTAATTTCTAAGGGCCCTAAGTGCTTAGACCATTGCAGTGTCAAAATATTTTTTAGCCCTTCTTGACAAGCAGACTATATTATTTTACTACAATTGACATAGAAATAGATAAAACATATTTTAAAGTACTTTACCCTAACGCATATGGAAACTTTCCCTGTTTCTTGGTCCTCGGTCAGCTTGTAGTTTGACATCATTGGGCCGTCAACACTGCAAATAATGGTAACAAATATCCCTTAAACTTTGTATTCAAGAAAAATAAAAAATTTAAGATGAATTATATTGCATTGAAATTTAATCAAATTATTGTACTCTCAAATAACGAGTTTTTCAAATATCAGACCTTTTAGCTCTTGATATAATCAGTTGGTTAAAAGGTTATCGGTCTACTTCATTTGTGAATTATTATCCGATTTTTTTAGCAAAACTTTTTGCTTTTCTTCCATTCAAAGATGCTGTAGTCTGGCGAAGGAGAATGACACTATGTTTCAGACAAATATCAAAATTGGGACGGAATCCAATAACGGGAAGAAATAGAAACAAACAATCTTTTGGTGGTACAGCTTGAAAATGGCTTTGAAAGAAGCACAAATTTGAGTAAACTAAAGCTTTTCGTCTGACACTCTTCAGAGTTTAAAACGTCAGAACATAAATCGAAAACTCTACGCTGAGAAATATATATACCCAGTTGTGGATCGAAATAGGCCAATCAGAAACACGAGCACATGACTGTATAGGTTGACCAATCTGTCCTGCTGGCCTATTGAGAACATTACCAATGGAGTCCTAGGTGAAAACGAGCTCCATTTGTCTACACAATAGCGGTTTTTTTCGTGCTTATGTAGATAGATTCCAAAACTGCTAGATGGAACGACGATCGGGCTTTACCAATAATCCGAAACATATCGCCATTATAGTTTTTTGCACAATCTGGGTTTTCCAGTAAATGCTGCCCGATAGCAGAATTGCAGGTTTTAGTTGTACTTTTAGATCTGCAAGAGCGAGGTGGCTGTTCTCTTTGGTGATGGGTTTTGGTTCTAATGCTGGACGGAAAATGTTGTTTTATTCTATCCTCCAATCTTTGGGTAGTGCGTCCTACGTGGCCAGAATCACACTGGCACGTAAATTCATATATAACGGAACTCTTTTGTGTGGCAGGAACGCAGTCCTTTTGAATGGATGGAAGGGCCTTTTTTGTACAGTAAACAATACTAAATGTTTGCTTTTTTCAAATTAAAATCAATAAAAGAAGTCATCGTGTTACAAAATTTCAAGCTGGCAGGAGAAAATAGGAGCTGTACCGAATTATGCTCAAATTAATTTTTATCTAACACTGCTTAAAGCCCAGAACAGGCAAATTCTATTCTCCCGCTTTCTCCTGCGTTCTCGATGACTTATAACAAGTGAAAAGAAGCAAAAATGAGGCCATATGTCGGCCTCGTAGTGATTCTACGATGAGCAAAAATGACTTGTAGAAAAAATCACTCGATAATTTTTCCATTTTTTTCTTCTGGATTTTTGCCACGATGAGCCACGAGGCTTGGGCAGAAAGAAGAACGGGACCCGCAATGATGATTTTTGTTGTTGTTGATGTGAGGAATTTGTTATAACTTTTTTAGGCCCTTGGGATTGTTTCCTATGAAACAACTTTGCTTATTTCAAGAAGGCAATATTCTAAGGTGCAGTCAGGGCCCACGCAACTGGGAGGGGGGGCGGGTGGCAATGGCCTCCACTTTTCTGCGAAGCAAGTGTTGTGCTTTTTAAGGCTGGTCGGTGTATGGTAGCAAAATCCACAATGAAATAAACACGATATATATATATATATACTATTTACAAGTTATTATTATAATAAATTCCATTCTTGACAACGAACGATCTTGACAACTTTAAACAACTTGAAAAACTTCACTTCAAACTACTCGATCACCAACTACCCTCCAACTTGAGCACGCCTCTCCCAACTCCAACTGAGCTAAACAATAGATCCATCAATCAATTACTTTAACACAACAATATGCAGCTAAGCGTGCTTTAAAACCAATATCGACTACGGACAGCATAATAATATTAAGAACAAAAGAGCAACGATATTTATTCTAAACATATATTACAACACTCCTCCCCCCTTGAAAAGAGCGTCTTTAGGCATAAAATGTTACAAAATCATTGTAACGAACGAAATTAGTTCTTCATTGTAACGTACAACATTTCTTCTTGGACGCAAGTTATAACGTGGTTCATCAAGCTCTTCCTCGCTGTCGCTTTCGGCAAAAATCTCATCAGAGGATTGAGAGTTGGTAACATCATCTGTAGGTACATGCAGAACAGTAGTGTTCATGACAGATTCCGGAGCTCTTTTCAATTTATCACGCGTAACTGTTTTAATCAATGTACCTTTATTCGAAGGAATTTCAATGCTGTAGACTGGATGTGATGCTCTTATGATCTTAAATGGTCCATTCCATTTAGCAATCAGCTTAACTCTCGCAAGTCGTGGTAAATAAACATATACATAATCACCAACAGACAGTTTATCATCAATAACATTCTTATCATGATATGCAGCATAACGAGCTTGTCTTTGATTCATGTGTTCTCTTGCAGTATCGTACATTGAATTCAAATTATCTTTATATGATTGTAAGCTTAAATTTGACTCAGTGTTCTCAAAGGTACCATACAGAATATCGATAGGTACTCTGAAACGACGAACAATTTGTGATAAAATCTCTTTACGCTGATTGTACGGAAGACGTCGAGCTGGCTGTGAAACTGGTACATTTTCCTTGAGATGGATTTCATGATGAGCATGACTGACAACAGGCACCTTTGTAAGATTTTTTGGTAATCTGTTAGATGCGTACTACTGTAGATCTGGTAGTTCGTTAAAGTGGTTTGTAACTTTAGGGCTGAGTTCATCTTCTGATAAGTAAGACTTGTGTACAGCTAATGCACTTGGAGCACTGTTTCTGAATATTGTTTCTTGTGCTTTGCTTCTACTGAGTTGATAACTCCTAGGACTTAAACTTATTTTGATAACAACATATCCTTCGCTACTTGTCATTTAACACTGGAAATTCAACAACTTTTGAATGCGCTCTGCAGAAACTCATCGCAAGTTCCAGGACCATCACGACTGTCTTATACATATGGCTTGAAATCACTGGACGTCCTTTAAACTGCCTTGTCTTTCGAGATTGATTTCTTTGATGTGTACCCATGCAATTGTTTTGATAGATTCTCGATCAAGAATACATATAGTATATGCCGCCTTGGCCAAACATGTGAACATTTATGACAGTTATTCGTGAATCCCTTCTTCTGCCTTCTCGAACTATTTAGATTAAGCATATACTTGATTCTGCTCAGACAGAGCGGAACAAATGCATATTAAATTTATTTAAATTCATCTTTCTGACAGCTCCTTTAAATTCCAACTTCGGTATCCATGCCCAAAACGTTAGAAGAAATGGCTGATGAAACCCAGTACCAGGCTGGTATTACAAGTATGTTACGTTCCCATCTTCCACGTAAACTTGATATTCAAGTACGCAACACCATCCAAACAGAAAGTTTCAAGCCAGATATTCGCAACTTCGGGTATCGGGCTATTTATATCTGCTTCGGGGAATCCTGACAGTTCATTCAGCATGACGTCTTGGATGCGTCCATATTTCAATTCGCTTCTATGCGCATGCGGTCCGGATCGTATTGTGTTCATGACGTAGCCTAGGCAATCCGACTCACATGTATAAGTGTCCATTATCACATGTCATTTCGCAACATACGAGGAGAACATGGTTGTTCGCTCTAAGCATCTCATTCTCCACTCTAAAATATGTTGATTATTACTCTGTATCGAATTTACGAGATCCCCCGAAATGATTGTAATCACTGACTCTGCCATTCTTAGGTGATGTCCTACTATTGTCACAGTATACTTTTTTTCTGCAATGTTCTGGGAAATATGTCCTTTCAATACCTACTATTTGATTAGCATGTTTTCATGTATAACACGCAGGGTACCATGTATCATGGCGTAAGCATCCACAGTTTGAGCTATGGCTTCGCCGACCTTTTTATATCCTTCGCACATGCTTAGACATCCTTTCTCTATCGCATGGCGAAAACGATCAATTTCTTCCGAACCATCTTTCCAAACGATCAAACGCGATCATTGCTAGAATAACTCGTCGGCGGCCGTCTCAAAACTTGCTTGGCCGTTTGCCAATATTAATAACGTATACCTGCTAAACTTTACGACTAATTTAAATAAGACGCTCTATGTAAGCTCTCTTAGTGTACATTTTCCCGTTTGCACGTGCAAAAGTTCTGTGGCTGGCCTCCTGAATTGAAGAGTCCAGCTGCGATAGTACGTGTGTTTTGTGCTATCGAGATGGATCACGTTACCCTACGCAGTCCAAATTCTAGGCATGTTCTTAGTACGACTGATATTAACTTCAAATGCAAATGTTTGTATATTTACTTGAGCCTAGTTTAAAAAAGGCGAACTGTATCTAGAAGTCGCTTTGTAACCTCCGCAAACTGATTCTTATACGATCTACCCGAGACAATAGTTTGGTTTCCAGTTCAATTGGCTTTAATATCAGCCGTGGAGCATAGGTTTCTCCAATCAGTCTCAAAACCATTTGAAAACGGATGGTCGCAAATGCACTAGCTTCTATGTAGCAAGCAGCAAAGTAGACAATCTCCTCCATTAGTTCCGTTCGTTCTTTACATCTAACGCTTCAGTTGTGCCTTCAAACTGCAACGAAACCAATTGGTCGAATACTAAGAGATATATGTCCTCTCCTTTAAACTTCGAAAATTGCAGGAATCTTTACCAGCACTTTTGCTAAACATCCGCATCTCGGATGGGAACCCTCCAAATTGTTGTGCTTTTTAAGGCTGGTCGGTGTATTGGTAAGCAAAAATCCACATGAAATAAACACGATATATATATATATAATACTATTTACAAGTTATTTTATAATAAATTCCATTCTTGAACAACGAACGATCTTGACAACTTTAACAACTTGAAAAACTTCACTTCAAACTACTCGATCACCAACTACCTCCAACTTGAGCACGCCTCTCCCACCTCCAACTGAGCTAAACAATAGATCCATCAACTCAATTACTTTAACACAACAATATGCAGCTAAGCGTGCTTTAAAACCAATATCGACTACGACGCATATATATTA